AAATGTTGGGTTGTTGGGGTTTTGAAGAGTTTGGTGATTTCGTTATTGATTTTTGTTGTTATGGGTTTTGGCTTGCAGATGAAGTGTGCAAGGAAGCGGTATGTGGAAAGGGAAAATGCATAAATTCTCAGAATAGCACGTTCTCTTACGAATGCGAATGTGATCCTGGGTGGAAACAGGCTCGTGCTGACGAAGATGATCATCTCAAGTTTCTCCCTTGTGTAATCCCCAGCTGTAAGCTCTGACTGTGTCTTGCAGGAAATTAATAGAGATTTTCAATTTCAAATTATTTGTTCTTTAGAGCACAGTTGCTTGGAAATTATAAATTATGAACACATCTTGTATGTCTTCTGATTGTAGAACTTGTTTGCTGGTGGTATGTTGATGATTTAGGAGCTTTGGTAGTTATGGGTTCAATTAGACTGGAAGGAACTATTGATTTCTCATGTGTGGGTAGTGGATGATCTGATTCCTTTTCCTCTTTTTTTTGGTGGCTAAAAATGATGGTAATTTTTAATTTGGGACTATATTTTTCTTGAAGGAATCAGAATGTGGATTAGGATTTGGTTCTTAAAGAAGTCAAAGCATGTAATGCGCTCCATTAGAAGTAGGTGATAAATATTTTAACATAAGTTGGTGATGCATATTAGTCACTCCCAAATCCATCAAAGGTTGTGTCATACTGATATGCATCCAACTTTCTTAAACTGCACGTATTGACACTTGCAAAGATATGGTTTAAATATAATTGTGCTTTGGTTTATGTAATGTACCTGAGTCATAAATTGAAAATTTTATCTTTCTTTTAGAAGTAATGGATTGTTGATCCTGCAATATGATTGATTAAGACTTTTATTGTTACTAAAATAATAGATAGTTGATTTCCTGGTTTTAATGATACTGACTTTTAATCTTGGTTAATAATTTATGTTTTTCATGATAATGATGGCTTGGCATCTTCAGGCACACTCAATCATGCTTGTGCAGCGGCCTCTGCTTCATTCCAGGACAAAGCATTAGAAGCTAATACATCTATCTTTGATCGTAAGTACCATAGTGCAAAGCTTTCTTTATTGCAGTTCAGTATCATTATCTTAATGCTAATGCATTATCATGGTTTGCTAGCCTGCCACTGGGCTAATTGTGGAGGCGGGTTATGTAACACGACATCAGCTTTCACATACAATTGCATTTGTAAGGAGGGTTTCTACAATCTGCTTAACACCACTGCCTTCCCATGCTACCAAGGATGTAAGAAAGGACTCCTAGAAACTTTGGCTTGCTTTAAAAATGGAATTCTATGGATCTAGAAAAATAGAAAATTTGAAAGGTTTATTGTTTACTTGATGCTTCAATTCATGATCTGGAAAAAATTGTTGATCTGAGTTTTGGAATGTCATCTTTAGGTGAAATTGGAATGGATTGTACAGCCATTGGCATCTCGATGCCAAATAAGTCCTCAACAGTAGATCCTGCATTACCTGACGATAGCAACAACCAAGGTGAGGTTGCCTCTATAAACTGTTTATATGACCTTGCTCTTCTTATTTTTGCTGAAATGGAATGATTCATTATTTGTATGACCAAGTTTGACTCTATTATTAAATTAGGTATTATTATTTTCTTGGTGCTTTCTTCCTAGCAAAGCATCTTCTCTTGACCTAAAGATTGTCTGACTATCTTGTACATTTGCCCTATACCATGTTCTGCTACCCCAAATGACCATTTAACTTAGAATATGTTTGAAACAAGGGAAATGGAGGGGAGGGAAGAATATTTTGTCCCATAAAACTAAGACGTTGGTCTTAATCTATTATGTTTTCTCAGTTTCAGTTGAAGTAAATACCACCAGTTTTCCTCCCCACTACATTCACACACATTGCATGGAAATAGTGCTGTTTTAGTTTACTAAAAATTGGTGATTCTGTCTTTGGCAGCTGGCTTGAGTCTACACAGAGATTATCATTGGCTGATAATCCCGCTCATGTCCCTTGCTATGGTTAATTGACTCCAAGATTAGGTGGATTTTCTGGCTTTCTATTCCACGATTCAGATGGATAATTCAGCTCTTCCCATTATTCAGCACACCGTTTGTCATCCTAGTCCTGCTATTTCCCTGTGAATATTTATGTCATGAATAAATTAGTTTGTAAAATTTTCATGTCATATGAATAAGCCTACCACATTTAGGATCCGTAGTACCATACATAGATGTTGGATCCGACATAAGGGAATGACAGATTCTTTTATCTGAGTTCATGACTCTACTTATTCTCACCTATATATCATGTTATAAATTTTAATATAGTGAATTGGGATCTTATTATCTATTATGGAAACTAAGTTTTCTTTCTACTTGGCAGAAAAAGTTAACACTTTACATAGTTGGAATTAACTCTATAAAAGTGAGGGATTATACACCAAATCTTTAGATTTTAATTTCACAATGTTTTTGTATGATCTCCCGCAATAATTCCTTCGCAATGTGTGTTGATGATATATCTTCATAATAATTATATAATACTAAATAAATAAATGCATATTAATTCAAACTCTTATCATCAAAAGTTTTAAATAAATGTCACATTTTGTTGTTAGCATTTTATTATCAACCAACTTAAAATTATAAATCTAAATTAAATATATATATATTGGAGATTTTCTATAGATTTTCACAAGTGTCTATTTTCTTTATATAACTTTTAGCCTTTCGCTTATGTAAAGGATTTACAGAATTAAATCCTTTTTCCTACAAAAATGAATAACTCTCCTGATGACATGGGAAGAAATAACTGGTCTACAAACCTTGTAAAGACAAAATTTGCAGTGTGACTTCAGAAGTAGGACCCATCTACCTCAACGATTAACGACCCGCTAACCAACCCCATTTTCATATCGGCCACGTCAACAGTTTTAACGTCCACTCTTTAAAATGGCGCCACAACGCATCCTCTTCCTCACTCCACATCGTCTAGATTATGGCTTCTCTTACTGCCTTTGTTTTTCTCTCAATCCTCCTCCTCCTCCATCCCACCACATCTTTGGGAAGCTGCTCATCATCTCATCTTGCTTCTGCCGGTTAGTCACTCCATCTCTTTCTTCTCAATACCCTTTTCTTTGCTCTTCGCTCATGGGCTTTAAGAAAATATATGTTCGTTCATGGGTTTTTAATTCTCTTTTAAATCCTTTCTTTGGTATATCTAATGATAAGTAACAAGTAAGATAAGATGGGTAACCCTTTCATTTTTCTAAATTAATCCCTCCTTATTTGAGTGCAAGATTTGAATTGAAAATCTTTAAACTCTTAATTAATTAAGACATATTTTGTGGACCTTTTAAAAATTTTATAAAATTGGTGTTTTTCTAAAAGATGGAATGAATGAATTGTTATTGATTTTTCTATTATGGTTTGTGGGTTGTAGATGAAGAGTTGTGCAAAGGTGTGGCATGTGGAAAGGGGAAATGCAAGCCTTCTCAGAATAGTACGTTTCCTTTTGAGTGCCAATGTGATGCTGGGTGGAAACAGACTCGTGTCGATACTGATGATCATCTCAAGTTTCTCCCTTGCGTGATCCCCAACTGTAAGCTGCATCTTCCGCAAAATACATATTTTCAATCTCAAATCAGCTTTAAATTTAGATTTTGGTTCTCTAAGGAATAAGAAGAATGATTTAGAATTGGTCAAATTATGTACAATGCTCCACAAGAAGTTGGTGATTAATTAATATTTATATTTTAATATAAGTTGGTGATGCATGTTAATCACCCCCAATTTATGCATGTTATAGAACAATAGATAAAAGATTTAATGGTTTTCATGATATTGACAGTTTGGCATCAACAGGTACACTTAACCACGGTTGTGCAGCAGCCCCTGCCCCTGTCCAGGTCGAAGGAACTCACGCTAATTCATCAGTTCTTGATCGTAAGCACCATACTGTTGAGCGTTGTTGTAGTTCTGTATCTTTTTCCTAATGATGCTAATGCATTGTGTCTTGATTTGCTAGCCTGTCACTGGGCTGATTGTTGAGGCGGCTCGTGCAATAAGACATCGACCTTTACGTACAACTGCGTTTGTGCAGAGGGTTTCTATAATCTTCTTAATGTCTCTGGCTTCCCATGCTTCCACATATGTAAGAACACACTACTCCTATAACAGTGTTTGTAAAATCAAGCTTCCACTTTGCTGTAAAATACGGAATTTTCGGGGTTTGAGCAAAAACTTTGGTAGGATTATTAGTGCTTCAATTCATGAAGAATTACTGACCTTAGTTTGGAAATATGATGTTTAGGTGCAATTGGTCACGATTGTGCAAGCCTTGGCATCTCCATGGCAAACAAGTCTAGAGCTTCAGCTCCTGCGTTAGCCGTTAATGGTAATAGGCTAATAGCCAAGGTGAGGTTAATTGGCGCTTTAAAACCGTGTATAGAATCTTTCTCTTAGTTCTACCTTACAAATCAAACATGCTTTTATTCATTCTCACTACTAGAATATATCAAGGATATAGTGCTGTGTATTTTAATTTGCTTGATTAATTAAAACTTGGACGACTTTTTGTCACTTGCAGCGGTCTCAAACCTACTCGGAGATTACCATTGGTTTATAATCCTGTTTTTGTCGCTTGCTATGGTTAACTGACTCAATGTTTCGTTGGGTTCCCCACATTGTTTCATTATGGAGCTTGTCATTCCGTTGCTGCTATTCTGTCTGTAAATATATATGCATATTGTATGTATAAGTTTTCTGTTTGTAAATTTTTCATGTCATATGAATAAGTCCACCACACAGAATCTAGTAGGACTATTCTTTGATGAGCTTATGCTTGGGTGGTGTTAGCCATATTATTCTTATTCCCATATATATACCATGTTATGTTATATTGTTTTAAATTATGAGCCCCTAATTTTAGTGCATATTTGGGGAAGAAGAGATTTTCTTCCTCTACTCTTTTTTCGCTTTAATCTAATTACCATAATCAAGGGAAATATGGTAAGTAAAGAATTTTGGATCCAGAATCCAGAGATTGTTTTCTTTTTCTTTTTCCTTTTCTTTTAAGAAAAGAATCTAGTGAGTACTGAGCAGGAAGCAACCAAAACCAACTTACTAAGATAAAGCCCAAAATGATTAGACTATCAAAAAAAGGCCCAAAATGTTTTATTATATTTTAAGAAGATCAGCCCATGAGAAAGCAAGCGGATTCTATAGGGAAAGAAAATAATGATAAATATCAGGGTAAGATAACGTACAATGGAGAACAATGGTGACACAGTATTATAATTAATATTATTTTGCATGAATTTATTTTTGAGTCCATTATTTTATAATTTAAATTATTTAAAATTTTAAAATGTAAACTTTTAAATAGGAAAAGCTTTTTAATATCAAGAATTATTTTTATTTAAAAGTTAATATTTTACAACTTAAATTATAAAATTTTTTATTTTTTTATATATTTAATTCTCAAATAAAATAATTAAATAAACAAATACTTTTTAATGCATACATTTAACAAATTTTCTTTAAAAATTATATTAATATTATTTTCTTTAATTTATATTTTGTATATTTAAATAAAAACTTTTTAATAAAAATCTCAAGCGTTGCATTTAAAGGCGTGGCAGGAATTATTTCAATTTGCATATCATGTGGTCAAACTTTTTTTTGCTCCAAAAGGGAACGTTATTTTGGCTCTTTTTGGACAAAAAAAAAATTGAACCATGAGATACAAATTCACCAAAAAAAAAAGCCAGTATGTAGTGGTTAAAACTTCATTTATTGTTCTCTTTTAATAAAATATATTTTTTCTCCAAATAATTATTATTTTTATTTTTTAAAATAAATAAATATTTTTATTATTTATTTAATTATAAAAAATTATTTTTAAATTCTTAATTAAAAAAATCAAAAAAGAGTAATTAAAAAAAACAAAAAAGTCCTATGGCACATTGTTTGTCGAGAAGAGAGGATAGGAAGAGATGAAGCTGGCAATTGTGAATTGACGGCAAATATCATAATCAGTCTGAAAAAGTAATACTAAAATTACTCTCTGGAGGCTGCAGCCTCTGCTCAAATGCAGAAGTCATTCACCAATCAATCTTTCATCAATGCCTCTTCAAAAAGTAGATTCACCACTCCAACTTCAATTACTCCCCCTCCCTAACCCTAAGCTAATAATGACGAACTCTTTGCCTGTCCCATCTCACCGAAAATCACCAGAAAATCTCTCCCGTCGGCGCCGTTCCAACCAAAACCCCACAATTTTCAGGCCTTTTTTTTTTTTTTCTTAAAGGGAGGCCTTGTTAGTAGGTAATATTATAATCATGGAATAACAAAATGTTGAGGGTATTAAAACAATATAAAATATTAATTTACACATGGCTCTTGAGATTTAGTGGCAATAGTCACTTCGGTGCATTCTCTTTTTTCCGGTTGGGTTCGAAACCCGCCCCTTGCAAACATGTTCAAAAAATATATATATATAAAATATTAATTTAATAAATAAAAATAATTTAAAAAATAT